GATGGAAATGTGAGGCAGCTGGTTACAATGTGTCTGCAATCAGGAAGCTGACAGATGAATGATGGTGTGCAGCGTGCTTTCTCCTCTTCATGCAGCCCATTGGATGGTGGTCAGTGGGACACACTTGATGAGGCTATGAACACAGGCAATGGCTGAGAATGACTCAGTTATCATCCTCTCTTTTGTCTCAATTATACAAGATAAAACTCTAAGCCACAGTCAGGTGCTCACCAGAAATAGCATTTACATAGGAACTAGGGTAAGGAGGTGGGTGGCCAGAAGCAATGGAGCCCTAGGGCAAGCTGTCTGCCTCTTGCTTTCCCCCCCCCCCCCCCCCCCCAGTGAACACTATTGGCTTTTGGGACAGGACAGTTCCTCCTGCCTGTCCTGTCCATTTGCAGGAAGATTCCCGCCCTAAGAGGCAACACACCATGTACCATAAATGATACCCAGTCATTACTCAATCCCAGTGCACAGCATTTCCAGACGCTCTCTGAAGGGCAGTTTCTTGAGATGACCAGTGATCTCAGCAGGACTCAGAGTGTCACCTACTTTAGGGGGACCTCCCTATAGGAACTGGTTCATAGATGGGCCCTCAATAGTGCTGCTGGTCCCTCTTCAACAGTTCTTGACCACTGGGTTAACTGCTTGACTTGCCTAGTCCTACTAACAAGATTCCCCCTTGGGAAACAACTGGCATAATTCCAAAGCACTTACAGAAAGAAGGAATAAACTCTCATTGAAAAAGGTAACACTGGAAGTCTTCAAAAACACACAGTAAACAAGACTCTAAAAATAAACACTTTGGTGAACAATAGCTCCTCAGCTGACACCTTCATTTGCATTTTGTAACTCTAGAAAAGCCCCAGATGTGGTTGTAGTATCACACACACTGCTGGAATCTGTTGGGTAGTTCTGGGTGGTGATGCAAACCACTGGTAGTCACATGAAAGCTGGGCTTTAACTCCTCGATTTAGGAGGGAATGGTGGGTTTTTTTTTTCTTCTTCTTTTTTACTGATGAAAGCTCTAAGTATCAGAATGAGTAAATGTTATGCAATGGACATTATTTGACACAGACCAATTATCTGCTCACTAATGTGGGTTTGTTAGAGCTAATAAAAGCCTAGGTGAATACTATGGTTGGCTTCAATGTTACTCTAAAGTTCCCCTCAAACGCAAGAGGTTTACAAAAGAGAAAAAAATGCAACTGTTGCTGAGGGAAACAAAGAAGCTCATGTCTTCCAAATGCAGGCTTTGGTGTAGCACAAGGCTTGCTTTACTTTCAGATAAACTGTCATTGAAGCAAAAGCAAGATATGAGAAATGTGAACCTCTCTCTTTCAACACTACCCATTGTGTTGAGATTCATAAGCAGGAAAGCTAAGAGCCTACCATCCTCTCAAAGAAATATGAAAGTTGGTGCTTTGAAATAGAACTTATCAAACTCTGCCTGAGTGATATCTATGCTTGAATCCAACTGGATCAGCATCCCCTTCCAAATAAGTCTTTCTTCTCAGTGGTGAGAATTACCTCACCTGGGGTTCACACTGCAACGTTTCAGAAGCCTTTTCGTATGAATGAAGCTGGTTTCTTCACAGCAGATGCGGAAGCTGCCCTCCCTAGGGCTTGAGTAATCCACTGTGGGGAAGGAAATCCCCTCCCAAGCAGTGTGACTGCTCAGAGCTAAGGTGGCTCCTGTGTGTCCTAGATTGTGAGTGCCTCCAGCTCCCTGTCTTCCTACAATGCAGTTCCTTGACCCTGAGGAGTTTCTGGTGGATGAAGAGGATGACATTTTTGGTGAAGGTAAACACACCTCTCTGGCAGGAGCCAGGCTGCTCTGCTTAGTGGGAGAAGCTTTCAAGTGGTTTGTACAAAGGACTTAAGGATTTTGAAATGGAGAAGACAGAGTTATTCTGAATGAGGTGGTCATGAAGTGGCACAAGGCAAGGAAAGGACAGTGCAATTAAGTGATTGTTCTAAACATTTTGTTTTTAAAGGATTACAGCTAAGTAAAGATTGCTTTAGGCCAGAAAATAGAACTGAGATTTTATACTTTGTCCCTCATGTGTGTGCTCTTTGATGACATCCAAAGGGAAGGCTGTCACAGTACTTTGTGCATGCCAGGTCCTGGGGTAGGAACTGAATGAATGGGGCTGGAGGGCTTCTCCTGGTGACCAGCCAACCCTCCCCTTCTCTCCCCTCTCATCCCCCTCTCCTCTTAGATCTTTCTCCCTCCTCCCTCCCTCCTTCTCTTTGGCCGTCCCCCCTCCCTTTGTTCTGTCACACTTCATTTTTCTTTTCCGCATGTGTGTGTGTGTGTGTGTGTGTGTGTGTAATCCTGGCACACCTGACGTCCTCTGGCATTGTTTAGCCTTCCATCTCAATTCACAGATCTTCAGTTAACTGTTCAATTAGGCTTAGTGTTTTAAACAGGTAGGTAGTAACCTCCAGATGTCTTATTCTAATGCTGCAATGAGATGGGCCATAGGCAAAAACCTTTCTAGAATTTGGAATTGCCTAAATGGATGGGAATTAGGACTGGGGGGATCTCAGATTTTTCGTAAAACACCTTGTTTGAGTTTTTTTTTTTAAGTCTGTCAAGTAGTGTAAAATGAACAGACGGATGGGGGGGGGGGGGGGGAGACCCTGTCTCTTAAACGTTACAAGTTCAACCAGGTAAGAAAAAAGTGTGTACTGAGAAGCCTTGTGCTCCAGCCCTCTAGGATATGCTTACTATCTCCATTTACTTTGTTTTTGCCACAGAAATATTTAAAATCAGAATTTATGACTGTGGCGTCATGACACACATTTGTAATCCCATCACTGGGGGATGGAGGCAGGAGGATCAGGAGTCAAGGGCATCCTCAGCTACATAGGGCCCCGGGGGCTAGCCTGAGTTAAGAGAGACATTGTCTCAAAAGAAAATGTAAATGATATCATACAATAATAATATAGGCCAGGCATGCTGGCACACACCTCTAATCTCAACGCTTTGGAAGAAAAGATGACGAGATCAAGGCCAGCTTGGGCTACATAGTGTGACCTTATTAGAAAAAAAAATAAGATAAAACCATGTTTTGGGTTTTTGTCACAATGTATATCTGTGTGAGGGATTCCTGTTGATCTTTGCTGCCGGTGACTGGGGTTTCCATCTGCTGCTTTGCTTGACTGACAGACACTGGGAGCTGTGGGGGCTTTGAAGTTGAGTCTTAGGCTCTGATATCTGACTTCCCCTCCTGGAGTTGGTGGTTACTTACTTAGAAACCAATCTAACAATTACAACTAGAAAGATTCACCTACTTTGGATAATCTCATCGTTTTCAGCCACTTTTCCCTCCAGGAGTGACATTCTAAAATGTCCAGTCCACATTTTCCTATCCAAACGGATTTTTCTCTTATTGTATCTGGGTCTGGTGCTGAAGAGCGCCATCTATAGGTTAGTGCACAGCCCTGGATCATGCATGGGACCATCCTGAAAAAAAAAAAAAAAAAAAAAGGTTGGTTAGCAAGACCTTCAGAAATTAGGACTCCATGAACCTGCAGAGATCTTTCTGCTGAGCACTCACAGCTAACGAGGTCATAAGGGTTTTTTTTTAATTATTATTTCATGTGTCCGGGTTGTTTGCCTGCATCTTTGTCTGTGTACCACATCCCTGATGTCTGTGGAGATCAGAAGAGAGTGTCTGACCCCCTGGGATGGGATGAACAGACAGTTGTGAGATGTCCGTCAATGCTGGGAATCAAATCCAGGTCCTCTAGAAGATCAGCCCGTGCTCTTAACCACGGATCCCACTCAACACTATTATTTTATCCTCAGTGACCGGTGTCATTTCAGACCAATTTTAGACTTGAATGCTAGTTCTGCCTCGCGCTGGTTTTGCAATGCAACTTCTGTTTCCTCCATGGCAACATGAGACCGCAGCATCTATTTGTTTGTACAGATTAGTTCCATCGAAAGGTCTTAACTATTTGTCTTGTTCTTCCATGGATCGTATTGTTTGACTTACTCCTTAGAGACTAGAGAGAATCCTTGCAGAACAGCAATCGGTATGCTTTCATTGGTTTTCACAGTCATGGATAGCTACTAGTTCATGTGGGATCTGGTTTTTAAGAGGTATCTCACTTTAAGAAGTGCTGTGCAGGCTCTGCCTGGGTTTTGTCCATTAATCTGCTTCGTGACCTCAAACAGATTGTTTAACCCCTTTGTTCTCCAGTTTACTCACTTGGGAAATGGAGCACAAACCTCCTAGGACTGTGTGCAGACTAAATCCTATTACAGGGAAGTCCTTAGAAAAGTACTCTGTGAACAGTAATGTACTTACTGCTGTGTTTGCAAATATACACTGATGTAATAGAATGGGGATTCTGTTTTCCCCTGTCCTGTATAGTTGCAGGAACATGGTCAGGTCATTGAGCCTCTTTAAGCTTCATCCTATATTGAAAACCCAAGAATTATACCTGTTTTCTGAGGCCTGTTTTGTTTCTATTTTGCTGTTAAATTATTTCAGCTAGCATATAAAATGATGGGTTTTATTTTCACACACACTTGTATATATTGTAATTTGCTTATCCCTCCTCTCTCCCTCATCCCCCACTTTGACTCTCTTGGCTGAGATAGCATTTCTTAAAAAACTTCAGCTCTCTGCCTAACCTCACCATCAGTACATTTTCACCCAGAGTGCATGGCCACCCAGGTTTCCCTGGGCTTTCTGCTCTCTGACCTGCCCGAGAAAGCACTGAAGTCCCCACACAGTGAGTCTCTTCCCACGCACAAAAGGGAACCACTCGGGAAGCTTGTTGTTAGGGCAACCCTGTTTCTTTACAGCTGACACATTTTTTTTTTAAAGGAAACATCTTCCCCTTAAAAATACAGGGTCACAGGTTTTGTACAGATGCAGAAAGATCTGGAAAGGAAAAGAAAGCAAGTAGTCCCTACAAGGTGTTTGCTTACTGCCTCTCTGAGATCCTGTTTGTTCTCTGTGGTTAGAGAAAATGTTAAGGTTCACAGAGCTAAGAAGCAGTGTGGTGTGCTACTCTGCTGTTATTCGCAGAGAGAGAGAGAGAGAGAGAGAGAGAGAGAGAGAGAGAGAGAGAGACTGTTTACCTACACATAACACCCAACATTTTTTCCACAACTCTAATTCTCTCTCCTTTCTCCCCAACTCCCTCTCCCTCTCGTCCCTCCCTCCTCCCCCCCCCACACTCACACACTCAGCCTTAGGAATGCTTTCTAGACATCTCATAACCTCACTGTGTCATTGGATGGCAGTTACTATCAGGTAGACATGAACTTTTCTGGAAAAGTAGGTAATTTGATTACTAAGGCACTGAAAAATTGAAAATCCAACAGCTGGCACTATTGGCTGTTTCTTTCTGTGGTTTCATGCTTATCAGATTAAAGGGTGTCCATCCATGTCATTGCCAGGCAGCCTTGACAGTGGTGGACACCACTGTATGGATTATTTCTCAGAGAAGAGAACACTAATCCTGCAGGAAGACTCGGTTCTCAGGTGGCAGTCAGTCAGCCTGTTACCATGAACATTGCGTCTTAGCTGTCATTAGTTGCCTCCTGTTTTAGAAGCCCCAGTCCGGCTGCTTCCATTTTCAGAGCTGCTCAATAGCTGCAGTCCAGTGCAATGACTGGAACAGTAAAATGCCATGAGTTCACAATGTGTGCACAAAGTATCGCTTGGGTTCTTATATTCCTATAGCTCTTAAGATCTCACTTAAAGACCACATTCAACTGCAAAAGTTTTGCCAGCTCTTTCTGTTCCCAGAGCTGGTAGCAGGGGCACGCACCTGTCCTATTCTGGAGGAGCTTCTTCTGTCTCCTCAAAGAAGGCTTTGAGGTGTATCCTTGTGCCAGAGTAGGGTGGTACCTAAGGGATACCTCCCCGTTCTCAGAGGAGCAAAGTGGGGAGGGGCTGTGTGAGGAGGAATGGGGACTCTGGTAAAGTGAATGCATAAATTAAGGGGTAGGGGGAGAAGACTTCTAGTTGGAGAGGAACTGGATGCCTGTAGCGCTTAAGACTTAAGAGACTAGCAGGTGCTTGGAACAAATTCACTCATTTTTTAAAAATAAGTATCATCTTTCCCCCAAGACAGTCAGTCTTAGGGCTGGAGAAATGGCTCAGGGGTTAGGAGTACTTGCTGTTCTTGCAAAGTACCCAGGTTCAATTCCCAGCACCCACATGATCGCTCACAAACATCTGTAACTCCAGAACCAGAGGTTTTGACACCCTCCTCTGGTAGGCAAACATGTGGTGTGTACACAAAATACCCATACATATGGTTAAAATAAATATTAAAAAGAAAAAAGAAAGTTGGTCTGTGTGCTTTCCCTTCCAAAGGGAACTTTACCTCAGAGCAAAAGGTTCTCAAACTGTATCAACAAATTATAATTAGGATGCAAGCCAAGTTTTGCCTGTCTATGTAGACTGTTTATAAAACTACATGTTTCTCCACACCAAGAAAAGGAGCCCACCCCGACACTACATGGAGGGTCAGGACTCAGAGACTGAATGGCCCAGAGACCTAGGATAAAACCAAAGATGCCCAGTAAAAAAAAAAAAAAAGTTAATGAAATGATACCTAGTGCTATTCTGCATTACTCATAGATTGGTGCCTATCCCAATAGCCATCCGAGAGGCTTCATCCAGCAACTGATGGAAACAGATACAGAGACCCACAGCCATATATTGGGTGGAGCTTGGAGAATCCTGCAGAAGATGGAGAGAAAGGATTGTAAGAGCCAAAGGGCTCAAGAATACCAAAAAAAAAAAAAAAAAAAAAAAACAAAAAAA